CTACACCTGCCCTGGGGTCTCTACACCTGGGGAGTCTCGTGGAAGAGTACAGGGAGCATGGCTTCATATTCTGCATCTCCAGAAAGCACTCAGGGCGCTGTCTGCTGAGATGTGGGCCACACTGGGCTGCTCCTCCACTCTGCTTGTGAATTCCAAAGCTCTCAGCCTCTCCTGCTAGCAGCCCCTCCTTCTGCCTCCTGGGGCTGCGCCATCAGTAGTGTCGTTTCCCTGGGCGTTTCACATGACTGAGTGCACATGAATCCTGTTTTAGTCTTCAGTGTAAAAACAGAATCAGGCTATAATTCCAGAACACAGGAGGCTGAGGCAAGAGGATCTGAGTTCAAGGCCAGCCTGTGCTACATAGTGAGACCCTGACTCAAAAAGTCAAAAATTTTTAAAAAGAAGCTGAGAAAACCTCCAGTTGCCTAAGAAAGGCCTACAGGCTGTCTGCCAAAGTGCCACAGAGCATAGCTTCAAGCAACAAGTATTTATTCTCTCAGAATTTCATTTATTAGCCAGGTGTGGTGGCACACGCCTGTAATCCCAGCACTTGGGAGGCTGAGACAGGAGGAGCTCTGTGAGTTTGAGACCAGCCTGGGCTACATAGTGAGTTCCAGGTCAGTCTCAACTACATAGTGAGACCCTGTCTCACAAAACAAAAAAAAATTTTTTTTCATTTATTTATTTTCATTCCCTCATTCATTTATTTGCTTTCAATTTTTATTTACTAGTACATGTTTGTGGTACATAATGATTATATTGCTCCTGGGGAATTGGTACATGTATACAACACATCTCAATTTTTTTCATCCCCTTTCCCTCCTCTCTTTTCCCCTCCTTCGATTTCTTGGTCCTTTTCCCATTTGCAAAACATGCATCTCCCTACTTCCTACTATATTTTATTTTTCTCTTTATTTATATTTTGCATTCCTTATATAAGAGAAACCACATGCTATTTAAACTTGTGTGTCTTATTCATTTCACTTCACATTATGATCTCAAGATGCATCCATTTCTTCTACAAATAACTCATGTTTATCTTTTTTATGGCACAGTAGTACTTCATTATGTATAAGTACCAAATTTTCTTTATTCATCTGTTGATGGACATAGAGGCCACTTCCAAGACTTAGCTGTTATGAACTGTGCTGCTATAAACTTGAGTATGTGTGTATCACTGTAATAAGATGTATTTTACTCAGGGAAATGCCTACATAGGGAATAGCTGGGTCATAAAGAGTTTCTAGTTTTAGTGTTTTGAGGAATCTCCACACTGATTTCCATAGGTTGTACTAGTTTACATTCATACCAACAATGGAGAAGGGTTCCTTTTTCACCCACATCCTCACCAGCAGTTGTTATTATTTTATATCTTGATGACAGCCATTCTTTCTGGAGTAAAATGGAATCTCAGTGTTGTTTTAATTTGCATTATTTGCATTTCTCTAATGGCCAGAGATGCTGAACCTTTCTTCATATATCTGTTGTTCATTTGTACTTATTCTGCAAACTGTCTGTTCATTTCAGTTGCCCATTTTTTGATTCTTTTATTTGGGGGGGTCTGGGTTTTTTTGGTTTTTTTTAGACAGGATCTCACTATATACTTCAGGCTGGCCTCAAACTCAGTATGTAGCCCAGCCTGGCCTTGAACTCATAGCGATCCTCCTGCCTCAGCCTCCCGAGTGCTGGGGTTACAGGCCTGAGCCACCACACCCAGCTTTGATGTCTTTATACATATTAGATATTAGTCCTCTGTCTGAAGATTATCTAGAAAAAAATTTTCCCATTCTGTAAGTTGTTTCTTCATTCTGTTGATTATTTCCTTTGCTGCACAAAAGCGTTTTAACTTGATATGATCCCTTGTGTTGATTCTTGATATTATTGGGGTTCTGTTCAGAGTTCTTGCCTATGCCTATGTCTTGAGGAGTTGTACCCATTTTATCTCCAGTGGTTGTTTCTGTTTTAACATTTAGTTCTTTGATCCATTTTGTTTTTAGTTTAGTACATGGTAAGATATTTAGGTCTAGATTAAATCTTCTACATATGGAAAGCCGGTTCTCCCTGCACATTAAAGAGGCTGTCTTTGATCCAGTGTATGTTTTTGGCCCCTTTGTCAAAGATCAGATAGCTGAATGTGCCTGGGGTTGTTTCTGCATCCTCTCTTCTGTGCCGTGATCTACATGTCTGTTTTTGTGCCAGTACCATGCTGTTTTCTGTCATTGTAGCTTTACAATATAATGTGAAATTCAGAATGTGATGCCTCCTGCTTTGCTGTTGTTACCCGGGATTGCTTTTGCTATTCTGGGTCTCTTCTGGTTCCAGATGAATTTTAGAATTGTTTCCTCTAGTTCTTTGAGGAATGATTTTGGTATTTTGATTTTTGTATTAAATCTGTATGACAGTTTTGGAAATATGACCATTTTGATTCTTGATTCTACCTATCCAGGAACAGGGGATATCTTTCCATTTTCTAATGTTCTCTTTGATTTCCTTTTTCAGAGTGCTATAGTGTTCACTGTAGAGGTCTTTCATTTCCTTGGTTCGTGTAATTCCTAAGTGTTTAATTTTTCTGGCTGCTACTGTGAATGGTACTGCTTTCCTAATTTTTCTCTATTTCAGAGTCTGTGTGGTGAGGAATTCAGGGGACAGCGACTGGGTGGTTTGGCTTGTGGTGAGTCATGAGCCAGGCCAGTCATCTCGAGGGTTGACTGGGTTGGAGGATTCACTTTCTATATGGCGCACTTATGTAGCAATTGGCAGAAGACGTTGGTTCCTTGCTGGCTCTTGGTGAAAGACATCTTCTCGCTACACAGACCTTCCTGTTGGGCAACATAAGTGTCCTCAAGCAGAGTGCAAGTCCAGAAGAAAGAGACAACACAGAAGAAGCCACAGTCACATAGCATCCCGGTCTCAGGAGGAGACACTTACTTCTGTGAGAAGCAAGGCAGGTGGTACAGAGCACTTGGCTCTGAGCAGCTCAGAAACCAGGGACCCCGCCATGGTAAGGAAGGCCCAAGAGTCGGCAGCTGCCATGAAAGCCCAGTGAACATCGAGGCAGTGATAGCAGCTGGCAGAACTACAGAGAGCAGGTTAATGTTGAAGAAGGGAAATGTGGAAGTCATCACCAACAAATTCATTAATGAGTCTATGAAGCTCAGGAATAGTGATGCTGAAGTTGAAAAAACAAAAGAAAGCGTATATGCTAATCATCAGACCAGAAGTACCACTTATAAAATACTGAACAGTTTGTGAAGGAGAAGAGGAGGGAAGAGAATTTGAAACAGAAGAATGAAGACATAAAAATGGAGTTAAGAATTAATCTGTAATCAGAAACCATGCTAGGTCATTACTGATCTGCATATGTGTATTTGTATATTTTGCTAAACCTGCACACAGTATTTGTTAAATAGAAGAAAAAACATACAAGGTAAAGAAGTGCCCTCCAAGGAAAATGTTAAAATCGGGAATCTCATCCTGCTTCCACCAGTGGAAGTCCACACAGACGGGGGAATCTGCAAGACACACCCCTGCTCCAAGGAAGAGTCCTGATGTTCCAGACAGAAGGAGAGAGAAGGAGGAGGAAAACGGGAGGGGCGGGGACAGGACAGGACAGGACAGGAAGGACAGGATGGGTCTGTATGGGAGGGAAGAGAGAAGCAAGTCATGAAGTCCATACCACAACCCACAGCCCAACCAATCCTGAAATGAGGGGGATCAGAGAATTTGGGGACGTATTGGAAATGGCCACTGATGCTCCCCAGCCAAGGAGCTACCACAGGAGGTGACCGCTCAAGGGCTGGGATGTGCCTCAGAGCCCCACAGGCCCGCTCTTCTTACCAGACGCTGACACTGTGACCATCAAAGATCACACTTCTAATAAACATTTCACCGTGGAGGGTCACCAATCCCATTCCACCAGGATGGGGTCCATCCGACTACAGGGTCAGGAGGGTGGGAAAATGCAGGGACTGGCCAGGGATGTAGCTCAATGGCACCACGCCTGCCTTACAAGTGCAA